AGTTTCAAATACAGATTTCGTTTTGGTTAATAATTTTATTGAAGTTTTTAGTAAACATAGTAGAAACTAATACAAACTAAGCTAGAAGAAAAAGGAAAAAGTTCAGAAGGTACAGAAAAAAAAAAGAAAAAAGAAGAAAAGAAAAGAAAAGAAAAGAAAAGAAAAGAAAAAGAAAAAGGCAACAAAGACAATAATAAAGAAGTGGCTTCCAACCTTCATCACACATACTAATTTTTCACTCTCTTTTAAAGTTACCAAAAAAAAAAAAATCCTCTTCTCCCCATAGCCTAACTTGTGAATTTCTATATACAATCCAGAAATCATAATTTTTTCAATCCTAGTTCAGCAAAAAGTCCATTAGGAGTTACCAGAAATATCCAACCATTACCTTATCCCTGGTCAAATAGTCCAACTTTATATTCCTTCCTTTTGCTCTGCATAGTCATGACCTGTAAATCATTCCAATGACATCGCAGGATTTGAACTTTTATCACTCTCTGGCATTTAAAAGGAGTCTTCAAAGCTTTCACCAGCCTATTTCATAAATCCCATAGTTTATCTACCAATTTCCAAGGTACGACCATTTAGTTCCCTTGCCTTAGGAAGAACTTTACTGTTCAGAGTATTGCACAGTTCTGGAAGATGACTCAGAATTACAGTTTGGCCATTCTTTTATTGAAAACGGTTTTAAGTAATTGACATCGTATCCTTGGATATGCACCAGTCAATACCTATATATCAAAACTAATTTGTAGAATTTGGCATAACAGTTTCACAAAAGGCTAAGAAATAATTCATGGTGCATATTAATATCATCCCAGAGAAGACTAGCTCAGCAGCTAATTATACTTCATAACCACAATTACTGCCTACTTCTGTTTACTCTGTGGGTGTTACATCACCACAAGTTAAAAAAAAAAAAAAAAGCTTCTAGGAGACCAGGCAGGGGATGTCTAATAAGCTTATTTTATTTCTTCCAGGTTCCTTCATGTGCAAGCAACTAGTAACTAAAAAGAAACCTAAGTATGTGTAGGCATGGAAGGCAGATCACATATTCTTTTGCATATACTTACAAGGGTATTTTCCTGTAGCATGTATGTGTGTGGGGGTATATATATGTATATATATATATACATATATATATGCATGTCCATATGTACAATATGCATATGTGTATATGTATGTGCGTGTGTGTGAATAGCATGCCAGTCTTGCAATCCTTCTGACATCTTTCAGGTATTCAAAGCAGCTCTCATGTGTTATTTCAGCACTACTTTATACCTGCAGCTGGACAGGGTGATAAGAGTTCTGAGATAGCCGAATAGACCCTGCCACTCTAGGCAGCAGGTAGAAGATAAACTTTGGCAAAAGTAAAAAAGTTAGCATGTTAGAGAGGATCCTAGCCTATGGTGCTAGTGGCGAAGAAGGGTTTCATAGAGGAAAATAATTTAATAATGCAGTATCTCCCTTGTAGATGAAAAGGGTCCAGTTCATTCTACCATCTCAGAACTCCGACATTTCATTCTGCTGCACGCTTAGATCACCATCTGCAACAACCCTGCCAGCCCATCAGTTTGCTTGTCCTATATTGGTAATAAAGTGCTACCTTTTACCTAGGAACAACCTCCATTTTCTCTTTGAAATTAAACTAAAAGACTTAAACATGTAAACTATTTTTCCACAAAGGGAAAGTTTCATATAATAAAACATCTAAGCAATGCCTGGGGTTAGCAAAAACAGAGAACAAAATTACATCAAAACAGAAATAATTTCTGTACGGTTGAGAACATCTGAATAGTCAATGCACCACTGCTTTATTCTCAGAAAGAACAAAAACTATTCCTCAGTAGAGGAAATGTAATGGCTCTGAGAAGAGCACTGCTTATATAATCTTTTTTCTTTTTTTTTTTAAATCATAATGTTATTTTAGAAAAAATGCTGAAGTGCCTGAAGTATAAAATGTCCAAATTATCTCTGCCAGTATAACGCAGTCTAACATTTGAAACTGCTTTAAAGTGAATTCCTATGTTTTATATCCAGGGTACATTAGTGACAATTACTTTGTATCACTGCTCTCCACATAAAAACATCCACATAATTAAATGTTTTCTTCAATGTACGAAGCCATATTATTCTGAGATGAGCCACCTCAGCTGAGTATTAAGTTAAGCATTATTTGTTATAAATGGCACCGACTTTACGAACCCTCAGGAAGTGAGTTTTCCCTCACCGTCTGGGATCCTTTTTACATAGATCGATTCCACAATCTTCTATATGCAAAGTATCTGTTTTATCACTGAGTCACCTTAGTCTTCTTCATTTTCAAGAAAATATGCAGTTGTGTTTTGTTACAGATTGGATCTTTTTCACTTCTCTCTCCTATTTTTGCTTGCTAAACCTTTGTGTTTTTTAGAATCTCTCCCCCTTTATTTATTTTTTTTAATTTCTGAATTTAACATTATGGTTATGTTTCCAAAAAATGGAAAGGCAAAACATTAGAGGCCTCTGACTTACTGGTGATAAGCAAGTATGCAAATTAAGGCTGCCTATGATGGTGATGACCTAATCACTTTTATTTGGCTTTCCTGGGATTCTGGAACTTGCCAGCCATAGAAAACTTAAGCTGATTCACACAATCCACCAAATCAAAATGTATTTTCTACAGCCAGCCAGTGTGTTTTGTAAACCTAAGTTTATGGCTTGGTATGCTGTGTGAATCCAGCCATTAATGGCTTATTCAGTAAATTGTGATTTGTTATGTTATGTGGAACTTTAATGCTGCAGCTGAACATGGTCTGCTAGCATGTTCTCTTCTTATAAACCAAGTCTTCAAGCCATAATAGCCAGATCCAGGCTTCTTAATGTTGGATATAACACTAATATAACACCTTTGCTCCATGAGCTGCATTGGGTACTGGTTTGCTTCCGGGTCCAATTCAAGGTGTTGGTTATCACCTTTAAAGCCCTACATGGCATGGGGCC